GGTCAACAAAGTACTATTTGTTTACTATTTTTGAAAAGGAAATGTTATTTACTCAGGATTTCATTCATACTTTTCCCCTTAAAAAACTGAAAATTACTGTATAGGGTACTGAACGCACATCTTTGGAATATTTGATGATGTGTTTAGGTTTGAAAATATTTTTTCACGATTGATGTAAAGATTAGAGAATGATTTCCTGCAATCTTTTCAAAACTACGGTATTAATGTTAAATAAAAGCGACAAGGGCGTGGTATTCTAGAAAGTTATTTGGTCTAATGAACACTCTTGCCAGGATTGTGGCGCAAAATTAAAAATTTTGTTACACAGTATACTTGAATGTAAAATGTAGCCTACAGACATAACGGTAATGCTAAAAGTAAATTTAAATAAGCAAGAGAAAGTCTTTGTTTCTAACTGATATATAACCTCCATTGTTACTTAATGAAAACAATGTTGCATTACATTGCATGCCCAATAACTATGTACAGCGAACATTTTCGTGCCGAATATCTTACTTAAGAGGACCATCAATAAAAGTGGCTAGTATCTTTTAGAACATATTTAAAGGTTGGTACTCAACGGCAGAGCCATGCTTAGATATTTTTTTTACTTCAAGCAATGAAGTGAATACGGCCTTTACATACAGTCAAATTAGCTATATTTTTAGACTTTAATATTTATTTCGAAAATCTACTTTATTCCTTCATTTATATTCTTTAGAGAGAATAACCCTCTTTGAAAATTTTTCTGAATCAAGTTAAGATCTGATATTTTTTTTATTAATTGTTTTTAAAACTTCTCTCGTCACTACAGTCTGTTACGATGGTGGCGAGTTACATTATAGTCTTTAAAAAGGTTCTTCTACCCCTTCTGGATTGCCTCATAACTATGATAACTATGAACAAAACTCCTCTAATTTGCTAAAATCCTCTAATCCCCTCTACAGTGATGATGAACCATTCTATAATCGCAAATGTGGAAACGGCCTTTATGGCCTTGAAGTACCTATTTTAAAGCAATGGACTGTATTAACAGTAACTGACGCTTTTGTTGAACTAAATAGTATTAGCGAATTATTTTTGAAAGATTTAAACTTGAAGCAGCTTTACAGTTCAGAAATAATTTGTCTTTAAAACTAGATGTTATATCTATAACTAATGAAACGTTTATACCATGTTTATATTCAAAGGTTAAAAAGTAATCAGCTACTTCTTTTAAATTACCTACATTTAATGACATTGATTTTTCACGAGTTAGAAAAATAAAAATCAGAAGATATCTCGTTTAATTTTTCACATCTCCATATTGTTCCGTGCGTACAGTTCGTAATAGATTGAATACACGCAAGTCCGATTATAGATTGATAAAATTTATTTTTTATCGAAAGAAATATCTCAGAGCTCTGCAATTTTCCACAGAAATAGTCGTACGAATATTCACAGTATCATACAGTATAATCAGTAATTACACTTCAAATTACTAAGAACGTTAAACACAGTTAAATGCAAAGCATATATAAAGAGAAAGCTAACTTAGTTTACTTTGAACTAACAACTCGCAACAAATAACTAAGCAAATGAGAGTAGATACTCTCTCTCTGACTTTATATAGTTTTCAACCGGCCTCAGAGATATTTCTAGTACTTTCTTCTACTCAAAATTATTGGAAAGCAATATGAAGGTGAAATACGGTTACAGCTGACATAGTGGTCAATTACATTTATTTAATTTCAATACATATTACGGTGATAAAGAGACGAAATGTCGGCAAAAGGTCACCAATTTTGGCGACTTTCGGGGAATTGTCGCCAACTTTGGCTACAAAATAAGTTTTCAAAATTACTGTCAGCCTGGCGATATCTCGCCAAATTACCGAGATACCATTTATTCAATGTCAAATACACTTGTCCCTGTATTCTTACTTTTCTGGCATAGCTTCTCTTTAGATTATCCATGTTATAAAAGAAATAGAACAATTTTACTTATAATTCTACCAAAATTACCTGTCTATGTACAAAATTCGTAACGATATTAAAATATCTAATATTTCTTTCACTTCTTCACAGAAAGAATATTTTTCTAAAAATTAAAAAAAAAAAATAAATAAAAATAAAAATAGCTGTTTGATTATGTAACTTTTCTTTCCAGTTTCCCTTGAATTCTATTGATATTCATTTTTAAAGATAAAATTTTCATATTTCTCAAGATTATTCTCAGAAATATTTTCTCTCTTCTTGCTGTAAAGGAAATGATTATGTCTATTATGCTTGTTTGCTTGCTTAATTCAATACGGCAGATCATACGATGTTTATCAGCTTAAGGAAATGGATGCCTTCGAAAAGTACATTTGAAGGAAAAATGTCTTACGTTACGTTTAGGAATAGCATGAGAACTTCTATACAGCCAACCCATTCACTGAGATTAAAATTCAGTTTAATTTAAGGTATTATGAGTACAGCTTTATTTACAACAACAGTTAATAATTGGAAGGCTTATTTCTACTTTCTCCTTTTCCTGCAGCATTAAATCAATGCAAATAATGTAAACAAATAATTCTAATTAATTTATTTCAAACTGCTACTGTTTTCAGCCCACTGCAATGATTTGTAATTTGATACCTTGTACCGAAGCATTAATAAAAACGTTAGACAATAATAACGAGCTGAAAATTGTATAAAAATACGAGACACTTATTTTTCTGTCTCACTTAAAGTAATTAATGCAGTAGACGTGGCTTAATGTGATCTCATTTGTCCTTGACTATTTTGACAACATTAACCGAATGACAACAACAAACGTTGAGAAAAGTATCCTGCAAACTATCAATAGACTTAAATATAAATATAACTAGAAACATATAAATACTTATTGCAAAAGTAAGTATTTAGTTAGTAATCATTTTAATTAGGAAAAAGGCATTAATAGTAGTAATCATTTTAATTAGGGAAAAGCCATTCATAGTCGATTATCTGGAATTATTACACAAAAGCTCATTTGTGAAGTACTCATAATGTTTCTGGAAGTTTGTTTCAGAGAGCGGAGACAGATATCTTCCTCTGTCATGGATGCTGCAACTTGAGTTTTTTCATCAGTATCCACCCAGTCTTTAAATTCCTTATAATTCGTATTAGTTACAGACGGTTTTAGTTATTAAATTCTTTTATTTCATCATTTATAAAAAGGATGGCATGTTTAAAACAGTGCTCCGATAGCATTAATTCCGATTACTCTAAGCGGCGCCTGCTGTAATTTTAAATCTTTAGTAATTAAATACGATTTCGATTTGATTTGCTTAACTGACTGATTAAGGCAAAGCAGGCTTGGACTACCTGCCTAAGGGTAAGATTGCTTCATTAGAGGATTAACCTCGCTCTTATTTACGCATATAAAAAATATGGAAACATCCAAGCATCTTTCTTCGTGGTATGAATCTGGTTCCAGCTAGTATCTGTATTTAGTATATCCTCTCAGCTACTGGCGCATTAATAAATATTCAGTTACAATTATTTCCTAATAATCTTAATTATTACCGAATATTATAGACTTTTTAATTTCACTTTTATTTTAACACACAAATGTTAAAAAGAAAAATTTACTTCGATTACGTTTGGAGGAGTCATTTAAAAGTACCATGAAATTTAAATTTCTGTCGTAGGAACCAACAGATTTTTATCAGTCAAAATGATAGGTATGAACTTAATTTTTATATGCAGTATCTAATGCATTGCCAAATTTCACCGTTTCAAAAATATTTAACAACTTAAAATGGAATTTATCCGACCGTTGATATGAAATCTTATATCTTTTGATAAAATATTTCCTTTGACTTTAAAGAAACATATCAGCCTTCTTTCAGTATCTTCAAAATGCAGGAAAAATATAAAACTGCCTTTATAAATAATTCAGTAATTGTCTGGCTAGTATATATAACGGTTGCAAAAAGATAAAGAATCTCCTTTCAAACTCCTAACACTACATCGAACAGCATTTCCTAGAATCCAAGAGAATAATAAATCAATAACGCCCCCTAAATATCTTCTGAATATAGGCGGGAAAATGTGTTATCTCAAAGCCTCGGATTTACTTCTAGGAAAGAGTGTTTCCGAAAACAACGAACTTCCCTCGCCGGTCCAATTATTCGTCGCGACGAACCGGGAAAATCCAATTCGTTTGGGACTGCGGGAGGATGCTTCTTGGTGAGACGGGTCAGATAACAGATGTTGAATCTCTTTAATAAGTGGTCTGTTTTCTCCAGCTTTACGAGGAAAATCTGAACCCACTATATATAACTAACAGATTCTTTGGAAAGTGTAATCTTATTCTTATTTAAGAATCTAATGAAGTATACTGCATATTGTTCCATATATGAAATCTGCAAATAGTAAGACTGATCTTTTAAACCTGCTACCTTGCGGCAAAAGCAGGGATTATTGGAAACATTCAAATTTTTATTTATTTATAAAACCACCATACCGTACTCGTACTCTGAGGGAAGATTTGCCGACCTCACCAGCAAATACCTTTATTTAAACATAAATTTACAAAACAATATTACATCAATTACAACCTATTTTGATTACAAATAATACAATAGAAAGAATTCATACAATACAATCCAACTTGAATTTACTTAAATTAATATTTACAAAATATACCAAATAGAGTAATTTACAATAGATTATTTGTACTCTTATAACTTTTTAACATAACAATAAATAATAAATTATAGTGACTGTTTAAATATAACATTTTCAGATTCAGTAATAATTTTTCATAATTTTTATTAATCCTTTTTTTAATTTTTCAATTTGAAAAATTTTAACAATATCATTTTCTGTATTCAAACATGGTAAGAACTTTATCCATTTATTTTTTAACAAATCACATAAAATTACATGTTCTACATCAGCTTCTTGTTCACCACAAAAACATTTCAAATACTTAATATTAAATCTACTATAATATAATGGTACATGTGCATGATTTGTTAGAAATTGGGATTAAAACCCATTACCAATACACCTCTTTTTATTAACTGTTCTAAAGAATCTATAAGTGTATCTTCCTTTTGAATCTTTGTCCCAGAAAACCTGCCATACATCAATTATTCTATTCTTTAATGTGTTCTTTAAAGTCTCAATACAAGTAGGAAGATAAACATCAATCAAACTCTTCAACGTAGCTTGTTTAGCACAAGTATCAGCAAGTTCATTTCCTTCGTGTCCAGTATGACCTTTAATCCAATGGAGATTGATATTTCTTTTCTTCCAATTTTCAATCAGAAGTACATGAGCATCATAAACCAATTTAGTAAAAGATTTTCCAGAAATTATGGCAAGTAATGCACTTTGACTATCCGAGAATAAATCAACATCTTTTGAATATTTCCCCAGTATCCATTCCAAAGATTTAAGAATGGCAAAAACTTCTGCTTGAAAAACTGTTGAATTATCACATAATCTAAACTTTTTAGTAAAACCAATTTCACTATTTGAATAAGCTACGAAAGAGCAACCCCTTTCATCTATCTTTGAATCGTCCGTAAAACTTTCGTGTCCTTCACGAATAGGGAGCTTCTTATCCCAAAAGTAATCAGTAAATAATGCAGGATGAACCTTATTAACTATTCTATAAGTCTCAATATTTGAAATATCCACTTGTAAATGAAAAACCCTATCAGATCTTCTGCCATACTTTAAATCAAATAAAATACGGTCTCTTTGAGCAATCAAATAGATTGGCTCACAACCACTTGAAGTAAACAAACAAGCATTAGAAACTGTTCTGAAACACTTGATAATACTTAACATCGCAAGCCTTTCAATTTTAAATAACAAATTGTTAATTCTAACATTATTTTTTATCATGTTGCACACGAATATAATATCTTCCTTTCAATCCCTCTCTTATAAAATATTTTCTTTATATCGCTATTAAGGCCTTTTATTGCGTACAATTTATTCAAAATAATAGAAGACTGTGTCTTGATCTTCTTCAAATGAGGAATGAAAGTGAGTTGATGATCAATTAAAATGCCAAGATAATTTAATTCTCGAACACTCTTTAAAGAATATCCATCAATATGTCCTCTCGGAAGAGTAACCATTTTACCTCTTTTAGCTATACCCATGATCGCACATATCTTATAATCAAATTTCAATTTAACTTGTTTTGACTAGTTACTAATCAAATCCAATGTGTGGTCAATATCAGCATCAGCATTATGTCTTCCGCTTGCTGAGACAATAATAATTATATCATCAACATAAGCTTGTACTTTCACATTCTCCTTAAACAGCAATTCAAGCATTGAATCACATAAAATATTCCATAATAAAGGTCCTGAATTAGAACCTTGAGGACAACCTCTGCCATAAAATCTCTTAATACATAAATTTCCATCTTGAAAAGAAACAGAACGCTCATAAAGATTATGTTCAAATAACTTAAAAATATTAAAAGGACAATTAAACCTTTTGAATTGAAACAAAACAAAAGGCCACCATACACTGTTGAATGCGCTCTTGACATCCAACGTATAACGTTGCGCGCCTCTAACTAGCACGCAACCAAGAGGTGACTGTGAAAGCTTGTATAAACCACAGAGTCTTATAAAGGGTTTAAGTCCCTTTTTATTCAACGTACTAATTTACAATTGCGTTCTCTTGACGCTTACAAACGGTGCCAACTCGGCAGTCAAAATAAAAATAAAAACCTGAAAAGAAATTAAAGACAATATTCTAACTACGAGGCTCTCTCAAATAACTAACTCACCGCGTTTTACAATACGGCTGCTAATTCAGCAGACTTGAAGCTCACTGGAACAATTGCAACTACTTCCCGCCAAGCACATAGGCCGCAACGCGGGGTTTATCTCTATAATCCTCCGCGCTCGCTAAGTAAGAATAACTCTCTCTCACCGAACTTGTTTCCTTCTATTTAAATCATACTACTTCCGCTGCTAATTTGAATGCTTGCGCGTTCTACTCAAATTTACATATTCTGGCATTGGCAGTTCCAGGGGAAAGTAAGGATTGACAGGAAAGATAGTTTAAACTTAAAATAAATGTTAGTTAAAATAAATATAAACCCTACATTTGCCGCTGCCAGAATTTGGAAAACTTGGAAGCAGGTCCTACAAACGACCTGTTGTAAGTTTATCTAATTCTGAACTAACTGGCGAAAGCCTCGTTTACACAAAAATAATCTTATGTAACAATTAAAATTCTGTTACTCTTTACAAAGGTTTCTTCTTACAGCAACTTTTCCTGGACTTCATCAATCAATCTTGGTCTTTCCTTCCAGCATCTGGAAGGAATAAGTATCAGTATCTTTCTACATACATTATAATTTACACTTTCTTGACACAATAAATTTTTGTTTTTTAACGTTTCGTTTTTCTTAGTTATTGCTTACTTCACATTCATTCAATTTTTCAAGCATTAATTTAACTTTACCCTGGCTCTCCACCGTGTGTGGTGTCAAACGGGAATATTCGTGTTTTAGTCTTACAACACTTCCCCTAACCACCATGATTTGTTAGAATTCAACAACCAAATAGACACACCTTACTCGACATTCTACAACTCAATGAGCTACTTTAATATTCTTAAAAATTCAAATGTAGGTGGAGAACCCTACAAAACACATTCATTCTAACTTCCCCCTCATTCATCTTTTAAACATGCAGGCTTTCGCTCTAAAGCATGACTTTATTACAGTTTAATACTTAAATTTTGACTTCATTGCTTTTAAGCATTCACTTTTAGCATCTACAATTTTATGCTTCTAGACTAAATTCTACTTTTACATAACATTGCAAGTATTTACATACATTTACAAAAGTTTAATACATATGCTTTTTACAATTTACCATAAAATGAATAAGAGAAAATAAATTTTTACTTTACTCATTCTTCGCCAAGCTGGCGGCACTGAAACTAAAATTCTTATTAGTACATACAAGAATACGAAGTTATTTTTATCTCCGGCCAAATTTTGGCTTTAACATAACAGAATTAGTCTTTCGACCAACAGAAAATGCTTGTTTTTAGCTTTTACACTTAAAGAAAATAATACTTTTGCCTTAGCTAAATAAAGTAAAACAAAACTAAGTCTCAACCGAGACATATTGACTTTCGTCAAAACATAGAACTTCGTACTTATGCATAACATTTCGGAACAAAAGAGAAAAATATTTATAGAAGGTTTTAACTTATCTTTGAGTTTTCGATGCTTGAAACTCCGTCATCCGTTTTTGGACAAAATTGATCCCAAGTTAGAGGTTCATGGATGTCAATCTTCTCCTTGTTGATCTCCGAGTGTCGTCCCCGTTGATCTTTCTTCTTTTGCGTCCTCTACATGCTGGCCTCTTGACGGAGTAATCGTCTGGTTGTTGGCTTTTGCGTTTCTGCCTGGGACGGCTGGTCTTGACGTCCTCCGGTCTGGAGTCCTTCTTGAATTTCTTCTGTTTCCTCGTATTTTCTGTTCCTTCCTGTTGGCGTTTCAGTTTCCGGAACGGCGGCCTTGCTGGCACCTGACTCTGTGGCCGTGTGCGCGTTCTCTTCTTGATGTGTAATTTCTCCTGCCATCCTTTGTAGGTGGTGTTTTCTCTTTACCACGGTTTCTTTACCCGGTTCATCTGTATTTTTGTTTTTTCTTAAACGCCGGAGTTTGAAAATCATTTTTTCTTTTTGATACCGACGTCCGGGTTGTAGAAGTGCTAGGTCTCTCTTCAGTTCTCCGTTTCTTGGGTGGTGGAATAGTTGTTGCAGTCTCTGGCCCTTCTATTTCGTTTAGACTTGAGTCCTGCAAGAAACTTTTAAGGATTTCAAAATCATTTGGATTATATAGTATTTTTTCACCTGGTCGGACTTGCTTTACAGATTTCCCCTCTCTCGTTCTTAAGATATAATACTACTCCTTTGATTTCCTGAATTACATAGGGGCCTTCAAACTTTGGAGCTAGCTTTGCCATAAAATTGTCTGGGGCACTTGATAAAGAAAATTTCCATTTCAATACTTTATCCCCAACTTTAAAATCTGCTTCACGGCGTTTTTTTATCGTAATAAATTTTTCTGCCTATTTCTTGCCGTATCCGAGGTTTTAAGCGCCTGATCAATTAGTTTTTGCACATCCTTTTGTTTAAATTCCTGCTCTCTTTGTTGCACAAAGAATAATTTATCTAAAGGCGTAATTAACTTTCTGCCTAAAAATAATTCTGCTGGAGTTTTTTCCCGTAGTATCATGATGTGCCGTTCTTAAAGCATAAGCTAATTCATTTATGTAGCCATCCCAGCGCTTGTGATGTGTGCTAACGTAACTGCGAATTATTTTTACAATGTTTTTATTAACTCTTTCTGCTATGTTAGCCTGTGGTCTATACGGAACCATTTTGATATGGCGTATATGCCAAGTCCATTGCATATGTTTTCAAATATTTGACTAATGAATTGTTTTCCGTTATCGCTAATGACTTTTATCGGTGCACCGTATTTTAAAATGTATCTGTGTAAGAATGCATCTGCGACTGTTTTGGCTGACGCGCGTTTAAGTGGAACAATTTCTATCCATTTTGAAAAATGATCTACTATTACTAAAAGAAAACGATTTTTATTTAACTCGCTCTGGGGGAAGGGACCAAGGAGATCTATGCCTAAAATTTCATTCGGAAATGTAGCGCGAATGCTATTTAAGTAGTACCCGGCCGGGCTGTAATTAATATCATTTATTAACTGACATTGATTGCAGGACCTGACATACGCCGTTACTATTTTGTATAATTGCGGGAAATATACCGCCTCGCGTACCCTTTTTAAAGTCTTTCTGACCCCGATGGCCCGCTGTTTTTTTTTTTTTTTTCGTGCAACTCCCTCAAAATGCTTAATCGAAGCGAGGCTGGGATGACTGGCTTATACTCAAGATTTTCGTTTGTTGTTTTCGTATAGAATAATAAATTATCTATTATTTCATAGTTTTTTGCTCTATTTCTTATCGCATCGATATCTGTATGCTCAAAGCTTTCGGGGTCTTTCAAATAAGCATAGATATTTCCAAATTCAGGATCAGCTTTCAGTTCAGTAATAACCGTATCTCTAGAATCTAAAATTTTTGAAGTCAACACAGCGCATTTAAGTTCATTACCTTCATCGTCCAGTTTTATACGAGAAAGTGCGTCAGCTACATTGTTTTCCTTACCCGGTTTATATTTTATTGTGATATTATATTCTTGGAGTTTTAAAGCCCATCTTATTAACCTGGGCGTTAGGTTTTTTCCCGAGTAAAGTCTACCAACAGCCGCATGATCCGAAAAGACTGTTACTGGCGATTTGCCGAAATAAACTCGAAATTTGTGTACAGCCATTAATACGGCTAATGTTTCTCTTTCTGTAGCTGTATAATTCCTTTGTGTTTGATTCAATGTTTTACTAAAAAATGCCAGCGGATGGTTATTTTGCATAAGAACCGCACCCACCGCATAGTCTGACGCATCTGCCGCAATTTCCAGGTTTTCGTCCCCCTCAGGGAATTTTAAAACAGGGGCATTAATAAGCGCTTCTTTTAATCTTTCAAAAGCTGTGTTAGCTTCCGCTGTCCACGTAAATTTACTCTTTTTTCTTTTGATTACTAAGAGTGGTTCAACAATATTAGCGAAATCTTTTATGAAAGATGGATAGTAAGAACATAAGTCCAAGGAAAGACGAAAGTTTCTTGGCGGTGTTGGGCGGTGGGAAATTCTTAATAGCTTTTATTTTTGAATCTTGCGTTTCTATACCCTTTTGCGAAATTTTATAACCGAGATATTTAAGT